ATCTATTTTTAAATAAAATCGCAATTTGAAACTATGCAATTAGTATATCACAAAAGGCTGCAAAAGAAAATACACTGAGCTGCATGTCAGACCGACGCTTTATTCTTATTTTTATTATTGTTATTTATCTCGTGATCTTGAATGCAGAATGCTCTGCTGGTTCCATGCCTTCATATGTCCTATATTGTTATTTATTTTATTTTTTTAATTTGACTGAGTGACAACTTTGTGATAATTGTTCCGAGATGGAATTAAAAAAGGAAATGAACACACATTTGAATCAGTTTATGCTCTTACATTTGCATGAAAATACAGAACAGTAAATATTTATGGTGTTCGACGAGGTAACGCTCCGTCGTGATTTAAATCAAATTAAAGCCTTAAAACAAATACATATATGTGTGTGTCTGTATTAAATGTCACCATTTATCATGAGGTCCGAGGTTTTTAACTGGCATGAGGGTTTTAGGAATCCAGTTTTCTTGTTCTGTGTAAATGAATGTTTACGCCACCACTCCTTCATGGCACTGAAATGACGCAGAGGTTTTTGTCGAACTACTTTCAGTTTTAGAAACCTTCCAGAAGAGCAGCAGCTGATTGAATCATGAACAGCAGGAAGCAGCGATAATGGATTTCTTCTCAAGTCCGGATGTTTTTCACTGACGAGCAAACAACCACCATCCTGCTGCTGTTTCCATAAAAAGCCAGAAACTGGGTCAGTCTGTGCTTCAGCAGTTTAGGACAGAATTATCAGCCTCCCTATGAACACATCATTCATTTAAAACATTTAGCAAGAAAAAAAAAAGTACCAGGAGTTGTTTAACAGATGAAGGGATTTTCTGAACACAATACTTTAAATAGAAAACTGACTGATTATTTTATTGTGCCCGTAGAAACAAACTTATTTCACGAAACATCCCGAGGTCACGTTGTTAGCCTCGCTGATGCTAACAGCTAATGGTGGTAACTTGGTGCACTTTAGTTTCACTTCTGTTTTCAAACCAACAAGTGAAATATAACCTCTGGATACCACACGATATGTGCAATCACTTTCTCAGGGCCCCCATTTGAACTCTTTCATACAAAATGATTTTTTTATAACGTGTACATATTTTATTTTATAATGTATATTTGGATTTTTTGTTTTATTGCTGCTGCTCTGACCTTATTTTATTTTATTGTATTTTTTCATTTTCCTGTATATAAAGCAGACTGGAGAAAACACACAGACTTCCAGTGTGCCTGTCTGTAATGGAACTGCAAACGGAAATAAAACTTCTAATAAGTTTCAGCAACGTCTCCTGAGGAATCCAAATCTTTTTTTTATGGCAAATCTTTCAAGCTCCTCCAGATTTTGTGTTCTTCTGCCACAGACATGGTTCTTGTCTAAATTTTGGTCAATAACGTTCACTTTTGAGCTTCAATCTTGTCGTATTCTTCTGTAGTCATGCTTTCTTCCACCCCAGTGAGATTCCCTGAAGCTGTTCATTAAGGTTAAGTCTCTAAACATCTCTACATCCAAAATGTTCTTGTTTTGTCTCATCTGATCAAATGAAATGCTTCCAGTGTGCATCCTGTCTCTCCAGGTCCTCCCTCTCATACTTCCACCTGCCTGTTGATTCCATATATGTCGTCCCTGTAGCGCAGGCTGCTATACTAAAGCTGTAACTTTAGTTTATGGGCTTAGAGCACCACTAAGTTGAAGAACATCATGTAACTAAACCTCTAATAACACAGACCCTGGCCGGTTTGGGTTTGTGTGAAATAATTCTGTTGTTCTGTGAAAATGAAAATCATTTATGTCGTCTAATAAAAACTACCGGTAGTTTGTTTAGAAATACTTGTTGGCACTGGAACATACTTGTACCAGAATAAACTCTCCATGGGGGGGTGCTGACACTGACCCTGAGTAATTCTGCTCCTTAGTGCTAATAAACACATTCTAAGTTTATTTCACGTTAACATTGTGTTCCTCAGTTGAGAAGCAGTCACTTTGCCCTCCACTGCTCCTGTCAGTCCGAGCAGCCGGGTGCTGGTTCTGACCTGAGACAGGGCGATGGGTCCGGCCTCGTACATGCCGTCTCTGGCTCCGCCCCCCTCCAGGTCGGCCTGCTGCTGCTGCTGCTGCAACTGTCTGAAACAACGAGACGGAGAAACAGAGCGTCGGTTTCAAGTCGGCCTAAAATAGTCTCATTTCCATCCCCGTGCCCGCCGCTGCTGAGCGAGAAAATCCCAAACACCTGCCGACGAAAACAGCGCCGAGCCCACCACCGGTCACCATGGCAACACAACCACGGAGAGGAGAAAGTCTGGTCGACATACGAGCCGTGTTTCCATGCAACTGCTGAGGGAATCTGAAGCAGGTTTTGATGATTGTTGTTTCTATGAACTGCTTGTAGTGAAAACTACGATGAAAACAACTCTGACCTGCTTCTCATGATAAAACTAAAAATAAATAAAAAGGTCACGTTTCAAGATGAGAACTAGGACAGACTGTCAGATCTTTATGTCAACAAATAAAAGTTAATGAACACATGAGCTGAAGTGTTTCTCAGTGATCCTCTGATGAAAGTTTCTGCCACAGCCCGACACGTCCCGGTGCATCGATCCGTCTGACTGCAGCGCTGCTGTTCATGAAGAAGCTCCTGACATCTGCTGACGTAACTTTAAGGCAGTTACGTTATTGGACTTTCATGAATGAACTTCTGGACTGAACCCAACTACCAAACAGCCTCCAGCGTTTACAAAAGGGTCCATTACTGTGACATTATGATGTGATACGGTACCAGACTGGGTTCAGGTGGACACCTTCAAGTCCATTTCTGGATTTATGATGATCTCAGGTGTTTTCATCAAGACATTGAAGCTAAAATAATTTAAAATTAGGCACCAAAATTATCCCTGGCTGCTATAAGCTGAGTAGAAGAAAGCTGTTGTCTGCCAACCAGCGAGAAAAAAGAAGAAGAAACAGACTAGATGTTGTCCATCTAGGAGAGCCTGGAGTCGTTCCTTCACGTCAGCTGGTTTTATTCATGTTCATGTCAAGAGACAACTAAATGAGCAGCTGCTTATATATAAAAGTGAAATGTTCACTACGACAGAACTAAAAAAGCTCTTCTGAAGCTGATTAACTCTATTTCAAAAAACAAATCTACCTCAAATGAGTGAAATTAAGGAAGTATTTTTATCTAATTCTGCAGTTTTTGTTCATTTTTCCTTTAAGCACAAAACCCGGTTCTGGAAACACGGCTGCACAGCGCCAGCATGCTACGCTACCGATGGTGAAGCTCAGTTCTACCACCAGGACAGAACAGTGAGACATGCTGCTGCTAGCGCCGCTACTCTAAAACAGAACCGTAGAAAGACAGAACCACCCAGAGAGGGAAAACCCGAAACAGAAGGACTGCAGTTTGCTAGAAACAGCAGCAGTCTCCCATGAAGAAGCAGCGCCGACCGCCCACGCAGGGGGAGGACAGTCGGGTTGGGTCGGGCCTGGTCTCACCTGGCGGGAATCTGCCCCGGGCTGCTCTGACCCCGGGCCGGGGGCATCGGAGCCCCCGGGGAGGAGATGGGGGTGAGGGGGTCCTGGGTGGAGTTTCTACTGCCCCACGGTCAGAGGAGAAGTGTTGGAGACAGTGGTCAGAGCGTGGTGGGGTAAAAGGGGATGTGGCGGGGGTGTGAGAGGAAGTGTGGGTCATTCGTGAAGCATCCAGACGAACAGACGAACGTTTCACAACATCTCAACGGTTTCATTATGCTCTGTGTCTGATTGTGCAATGGAGTGTGACTCACTTCACATTGACGTTGGTGCAGATGATGTACTCGATCTCTTCCGAGAACGGGTTCTGGAAGGTGAAGGAGCTGGTTCTCATCCAGATCCACTCCCTCGACTTGGAGCGGAACCGGAACATCACCGACAGGACCTGGCCCTTCAGCTTCACCACCTGAGGATCGTCCCGGCCGGCGGGCAGCAGGTTTGCATGAACACACGGGAAAACGGCAGAGATCGGGTTACATGAGGGCAGCTGAGGACAAACATGTTTTCATCTCACAGTGAGGACACGGTTCAGCTGCTGTAGGCTTTCACAGCTTCACACTTCATCTGACTAAAAAAAAAAGCACTTTGGATCAAAGCCCCACATTTATTGATCCATTCTTTCCCTTTGTCATGTAAACCGAAATACAGCTAGTCACGAGAAACCAGCCTTCCAGAGAAACCCCTCCCAGTTTACCACACGACAACCAAGAAATCAGGAATCCAGCTGCGTAAACGGGAACTCCATCTGTCTGACTCAGGTGTGACCAACAGTTGAACATCTTCTGCAGCTGCTGTGCAGCGTAGTGTTCATGGACTGAACATGAAAACGTTTATACTGAAAGTGACTCAAAATTTGTCCAGAATGACTGAACAAGATGTCCAAAACGATCGAATCCTGTCCTAAATGACATAGACTCATCTACAATGATCATGAGAGGAAAATCCAACCTGCTGGGTCAATAAACTGTCAACTGACATCATCGGACAAATGAACGACACGAACACAAGAGCTCAACAGAGGAAACACTTTCAGAAAGCATCCCACCTGCTGGAAGCTGTCTCTCAGTAAACCCTGGTCCTCTGGGTGGGCAAACTCCAGAATATTCTTCCCCAATAATTCCTGCAACACACAGCAGAAAACAGAACCTGTGTTAGTCCAGAACACCCGCCGCTGTCCCGGCGTGTTATGGGACGCAGCCCGGCCCTGCACCATTTACCAGCGGCACTCACCTGTGGCTGGTAGCTGACGGCGGCCATGCAGCGGTGGTCTACGAAGGTGAACATGCCCTGGCAGTTGTGGCGGGAGATGAACTCCACTGGGACGCTGATGCTGTTCAGGTCCGTGTCACCTGGGCAACAGGTAACCTGAGGAGGAACGACAAAGTCCCGTTTTAATAAGGTCCATCTATACGTCTACATTTCGGCTGGTTATCTCTGTGAACAAAAAAACCCTGGAGCTCACTCAGAAGCTGTGAACTATATCAGTGTTCTACTGTGATTTCAAAACCGACTGCACAAACACGAGCCGTAATCCACTTTAGATACGACTGCACTGAGACCACAAACCACCTGATAAGACTGGATTCGTCCAGCACCGGTAAAAGAAACCTTATTCCCGGTTTGTTGACGTAAGAGATTACTGCAGTTGGCTGGAGACAAGATAAGATTTATTAATCCTGAAGCAAATTCTTGAGCCAGGTACAGCTCAGAAAACAAAAAATGAAATTACATGAGAAACGCAGCGTGTCGTAGCAGAGCAATCAGAACTCAAAAGACCAAAAGTGGAATAAGAAATAAGCCGTACTCGTACAGATTCTGAGGTTGTCAGAATCAGAACCAGCTGTAATGGCTAACATACAAGGACTTTGGTTTGGGCTGTTGGTGCTGCCCTGGGAATGAGCACTAAGAAAATAAAAAATAAAGTAAAATAATGATTGAAAGAAAAAAAAAAAAACAATAAAATAAACATATACAAGAATTTACACATCTATCTAGTCAATTAAAATCCCACACGACATGAAATACTGCACATGAAATTAAACTATTGCACCTTAAAATAACATATAGTGAATTACATTGACCTGCTGCACATCAAACTAAAACCACAGTCCTGGAAGTGTTGAACGGTAGAGTAATGCTGCAAGTGATGCTGAGATTATTGTTGAGATTTAATCAGATTTAGTAAAAACCTTCTTTTCTGTAAAAATAAAAAAAAAATCGTTCCGTGTTGATGTCGTCATTCTAACGAAGCCGCCGTACCTGTAACCTCCCGATGGCCACGAGGCAGTAGCGACTCCCCTGAGTGTTGTCGGCTTCGTCGTCCGTTAGTGAAACTCCTGACACGCAAAAGAAAGCTGATGTTAAGATGAGCACCAAAGCAGCCAGCAGAGTAACACCAGACACCTGGACACATCAGCTCACCTGCAGGGGGCCAGGACTTGATGTACCCGGTGCAGTGGACCACCACGTACTGCGGCTCCCCCTCCTTGGCTGTGCCCAAACCATTCCTGAGACCAAGGAAGAAATTACAAAATATGATCATTCAGACTTTGCTGTGCCAGAAATAAAACTGCGCTGATGTGCGTCTGAATTCGACCGGGCAGCTTCAGACACGTTTACTGTTGGCTCAGTGGCTCCAAAACTATTTAACACTCTGAACCCCAAGTCAACCATTTATCAGCCAGAAAACGCATAGAACAGTACAAAATTCATGATTTTAAACTTTCTGACGGCCCTCAAACTAACAATGGCTTTAAAATCACTTTATTCTGTGTGAGCCATTAAAAAAAAGCCAAAAAAAATTAACTGCTTGCACTGGATGATGTAAAACAACGAAGGATTCATCACTCTTCAGTACGATGACCGACTCAGCTGAGACAAAAATTCAGATCGAACCTCAAAGTCACATTGAAAAAGTGACCAAAAATAAATCCTTTGTCCAAATCAAATTCTGGAAAATAGAAAAAAATCTGGGATCTGCAACACAACTGAGAAACCACGACTGACGTTACTGAGACCAGCAATCACACGACAGACATTCAGAGAGATTTCAGGTTCCAGTCAGCATGGTGGAACATCTTTCTACATGATGGTGGAACATCTTTCTAC